GGAAGTAGTCAAAAGATGGGGAATTATAGACCAGTTAGCTTAACCTCTGTAGTGGGGAAGATGCTGGAGTCTATTATCAAGGAAGAAATAGCAAGGCATCTTGATAGAAATTGTCCCGTTGGGCAGACGCAGCATGGGTTCATGAAGGGCAGGTCATGCTTAACAAATCTTTTGGAATTCTATGAAGACATTATGAGCAAGATGGACAATGGGGACCCAGTGGATGTGGTGTACCTAGACTTCCAAAAGGCCTTTGACAAGGTGCCGCACAAGAGGCTACTGCATAAGATAAGGATGCATGGCATTAAGGGTAAAGTATTAGCATGGATAGAGGATTGGTTGACTAACAGGAAGCAAAGAGTGAGGATAAATGAGTGCTATTCTAGCTGGCAGTCAGTGACTAGTGGTGTGCCTCAGGGATCGGTGTTGGGACCGCAATTATTTACAATTTATATAGATGATTTGGAGCTGGGGACCACGTGTAGGGTGTCAAAGTTTGCAGATGACACTAAGATGAGTGGCAAAGCAAAGTGTGCAGAGGACTGTGAAACTTTGCAGAGGAATGTAGATACATTGAGTGAGTGGGCAAAGGTCTGGCAGATGGAATACAATGTAAATAAATGTGAAGTCATACATTTTGGTAGGAGTAATAGTAAAAAGGATTATTACTTGAATGATAAAAAGTTGCAGCATGCTGCTATGTAGAGGGACCTGGGTGTCCTTGTGCATGAATCACAGAAGGTAGGTCAGCAGGTACAAAAAGTAATTAGGATGGCAAATGGAATTTTGTCCTTCCTTGCTAAAGGGATTGAAATAAAAAGCAGAGAGGTTATGTTGCAGCTGTACAAGGTGCTGGTGAGGCCACACCTGGAGTACTGTGTGCAGTTTTGGTCTCCTTACTTGAGAAAGGATGTACTGGCACTGGAGGGGGTGCAAAGGAGGTTCACTAGGTTGATTCCGGAGTTGAGGGGGTTGGCTTATGAGGAGAGACTGAGTAGATTGGGATTATATTCATTGGAATTCAGAAGATTGAGGGGGGATCTTATAGAAACATATAAAATTATGAAGGGAATAGTTAAGATAGAAGTAGAGAGGATGTTTCCACTGGCAGGTGAAGCTAGGACAAGAGGGCACAGCCTCAAGATTAGAGAGAGCAGATTTAGGACTGAACTGAGAAGGAATTTCTTCACCCAGAGGGTTGTTAATCTATGGAATTCCTTGCCCAGTGTAGTAGTTGACGCTACTTCAGTAAACACTTTTTAAAAAAAGGCAGTTTTTTTTTTAACAATAAAGGAATTAAGGGATACGGTGAGAACGCGGGTAAGTGGATCTGAGTCCACGAAAGGATCAGCCATGATCTTACTGAATGGTGGAGCAGGCTCAAAGGGCCAGACGGCCTACTCCTGCTCCTAGTTCTTATGTTCTTACGTTCTTATGTCCAGAGTCAATGTTGAAAACTCCGACAACTCCTTTACAATTTTATATCAGTCGTAGAGAGGAGTGTAAAGTAATCAGAAGGGCCAGCATCCAACTGAAAGGCACAGCAGGCTCAAGATGGGCTACTTCTGCACTGAATTCATATGTGCCTCAGTGTGTGGCCTGCGAATAAGTCATGCCTGGAAGAACCTTGAAAACCCTAATAAGTGGGGTAAATCCTATCACTTTCCCTGATTCCAGGGCACAAGTGGAAGAATATCCACGAATGTTCATTCCCTCCCCTCCCAACCCATGAGTTTTGTTTTTATATTTCACAAAGAATTGCTTTTTGACAGCACTTAGAGGTTAGGAGATAGCAAGAACTGCAGATGCTGGAGTCAGAGTCAGTACAATGTGAAACTGGAGGAACACAGCAGGTCAAGCAGCATCAAAACATCGACTTTTCTGCTCCTCTGATGCTGCCGGACTTGCTGTGTTCCTCCAGTTCCATACAATTGACAGCATTTAGAGGTTGGCATGACAAGGAGTGAAGAGAGAACAATAATTCATTTGTTTGATTGTCATACACCAGTTATAAGGCCACTGTTTGTATCATCTAGGGTAGTCATTTATATTGGTTAAATAAAAATTTAAGCAGTCATTCCTATACAGCAACAAATGTACCTCAACTATAGCTATCAGGAACTTTGTCCGTATGCAAATAATGAAAACTAACTACAGAAGCCCAATACAATCTTTGCTCCAAAACACTTAAGACATTCACACAATGTACTGCTTGAAAGCATCTCTAAATAACAGTCCTCAAACACATAATTACATTGCTATTTCGAATTGTCCTCAATATACATCCGTATTTCGCGATCCTTCTTAATATCGTGTTTTAAAAGATCGGGATTGTTTTCTTTGGAGAAAGCCTAAGTAGATTTGGAAAGGTTTCTTTTCCGACTTTGAGAAGGCATTTGATGAAGCACCTTATAATAAACACAAAGACATGGTATTTACCTGGTAAGGAAATTGGTTTGGCAGTATGAAATTGTAAGCGGTTTAGATTGAAGCATACAATTACAATAAAATGTTAACAGATTGAATGATTATGCAAAACGCTGGCAAAAAGATTTCAATACAGGCAATTGTTTAACTATCAACTTTGACCTAAAAAAGATAGACAAGAGGAGTTTCTAAGTCGTGTAAAGCGAGAAATAGCGAAGGTTCAAAAAGAGACCTGGAGTCCATGTAGATAGAGCGTTGAAATGCTGTGAGCAGGTATAAAAGAAGAGTCATATGTTTTCAAAATGTTAACCCTGCTCCTCTCTCCACAGATGCTACCAGACCTGCTGAGTTTCTCCAGTATTCTTTATGCTTGTTTTAGATTTTCAGCATCCACAGCACTTGATTTTTATACAAAAAATAACTTGGGAGGAGTAGAATACATGTGGGTAGATGTTAGATCATACATTGAGCAGTCCTAGATGCCATGAGTCAGAAGGGATTGATTAGCCTTGGATGGAGAGCAGTATAGATTCTAAGATTCACCAAAATGATACTTTGACTCCAACGATTAAATTACATGGAGAGATTACAGAGTTGTACTGTCTGGAATTTAACAGATTATGGGGTGATTTGATCTCAGCTTTCAAAATAACTGAAACTGAAAAGGTAGATCAAGAGTAATTACTTTTACTGGTTGGTGAGTCTAGGATATGACTTTTGGAAAATTGGAGTCAGACCATTAGAAGTTAAATTAGGGAACACGCTTACACATAATGAGTGGTAAAAACGCATGACCTTCTTCCACGAATGGCAACTGGTGTTAAATCAATTCTAAACCATAAATCTAAGATTATTAGATTTTTATTAATCAAGGTTTTTGAGGGATATGGAATATTTCACTTTCTCCTTTAAGGCAAGCCTTCAGACCTACCTCTGACTAAGCTTTTGGGCATCTGATCTAATATTGCCTGGTATGACTACTTTATTTTCTACTGCTCCGATCAAATGGCCAGATTTTTTTAATGCTAAAAAGACATATAAAGGTAAGCTGCTGTTGAAAAGACAGGCGGGTATTTGGATTTAGACATAGAGCAGCCGTGATCGCCCTGAATGTTGGGTTGTGTCTGAGGGGCTAAATGGGTTCCTCTGTTCCTATAAAAAAGCAAATGTTACAGAAGAAAAATTCAAACATCAGAATATTTTGAGGAATTTTAAAATGTAAAATAGCATGCAATATTTTTTAAAAATGGGACTGACTGATCCTCCAGCCACTAACCCCTACTTTACCTACATTGGCTAGGTCTTCCTGTTTGCCATGTCAAAGGAAATTGGCTTGGTTTCTGAACAGTTGTCAAGGTTACTTGAAATTTGAAACAAATAAACAACCACTAAAATTAGAACCATTCACCACTCAAACTGTCAGTAAATCCAATTATGATGAGTTTTCAACTTGTTCATATAATACCAATTAATTCAGCTACAAACTGAAATGTAACAGCAGATCAGACTGGCCTTACCAAATATTTGCGAAGTTTGTTGATTTAACTAGTCTTTGTTGGATTGAAGATACAGATATTAAATCTGACCAGCGTTGTGGATTAGGAAAAGAAAAATCAGCTCAATTTCCTGCTTGCCCAAATGCTGTTGGAAGCTCACGTGAACATCAAATGAGGAGAGAATCAAACTCAATGACACACACCCTTCCACCCATGTGTGCCTACCTAAAACACTACCTAAAATTCAAGAGGGCATAATGGTACTGATGTCCAATATGTTAACAGGATAGCAAAGCTTTCTGGACAGAAGGATGGAAGGACAGAAAGTGTACAAAATCATGTTCACCATCTTGAATGTTTTAATAGGATTAAAATTAGGATAGAGCCAGTGTAAATATGATTAAAAAGGATGGGGGCCGTGGTTTAAAAAGTAAATTTGAGGGCTTGACTCTAGTTTCCACAAGATCTTCTATGGTCAATTAGTGACTTTCCCAATTTGGTCTCATCCTTGGTCCAGTTAAACTTCACATACTTTCTACTTCTCTATTAATTTGACAGGATGTTAAAGCAATTTCCCAAAAATCCCTGCTCCATGCAAAGCAGTCAAAACAGTTGAGTTGACAGAGCAGTGAACTAAAGTTGTGATAGCTAATTGGCTCTGCAAATTTCAAAGGCATGCAGCCTTGCTTCTTAGTCACTGCTCAGCACTTCAGTGTTCATCTTACAAAATTAGATGTACTGCGCTGCGCTAAGAGATAAAATCATCAATTTCCTGTACTTAGCTCCACTTATGAAGTGACTTGAGACATCTTTAAAATCAGGTGTTATACAAAGGTATGCTGCAGTCACACAAAACAATAATTCTCAGCAATGCAAAGCAGAAATAGCAAATAAAATGGGGACATAAATATCAATGGCCTATGAACTTTTAGGAACATAAATCTTCTGCAGGAATTGCAAAAGCAAATTTTGATGTTACGAATGACGGAAAGTAACTGTTATTCAGAATTTCTGTTGATGCATCCACAAAACTCAAGCACAGCATTCTTGGAAAATAATGAGCATGTAATCACTTACTGATAGAAAGCATCTTTCTGGATGTGCATTCTCAACACCACTATGCCCCTGAGGGAATATGCAGCTTCAATAAAGGCGTCACTCGCTGAAACATAAGACAGACTTTTAAGGCACTCAATCTCTTAAATTTGAGAAAGGCAAAAGTTGATTTCAAAGGCGAACACAAGCAGATGACAGTTTCAACTTTGAGAAATATATTAACTAAGCAACATGACTTTCAGAGATTATACAGTGTAACCTTGTGTGTTTTAGCCCACAGATTCTGTATGGTAACAATTAAAACATAATTTGGTATCTTCTTGAAGGGGATGTTTACTTCTTAATGGAAATTTCAGAATGGAAATAACATGATTCCAATATAGCTCAGTTGGCTAAATGACTCACATATGGTTCACAGTAATACCAACA